GGGGCACATTGCGGAACCTGGCCTTGGGGCAGCAGAGAGAGTACATCCGGCCCTGACTGTGAGCAAACTTAACCACTGGCATTCTAGCTTCCGGCATGCTCTAGCAAAAATGTCCGCCTTCTCTGTGTAATATTAAAGGAGAACTATGGGGTCAGGGCTTTTCCCCATAGTTCTCCTCAGGGTAACAGGAGGACACAAACTAGCGTCCTCCCGTCACCCTAAGCTCAGTATATAGGGAGCTACAGCTCGCGGTACACTGAGACGCCGGAGCGGATCCCAAGATCGATGTCGAGATCCGCCCAGCTGCGTGAGTGACAGCTGGCTCCTCCTATCTAGAGGCAGAGCCAGCTGTACCCGCCCCCTCCCCCGTCCGTTCCGCCAGTCAGCGCTGGCGGGGAGGGGGGAATCCAGCCCCTCCCCCTGTCACGGCAGACAGGAGGTGAGCGATTGCCGGTATATGTTCGCTCACCTCCCGATCTACTGAGCCGAGCTGTGACAGTCTCATTGTCACAGGTCGGCTAGAACTATGAGGTGAGAGGAAAGCCCCTCCTCCCCCCCTCATAGTTCTCCTTTTAATTTTAGCCAATGGGAACCTTAAATAGAAATTAGTTCATGTCGGGGGAGGATTGGAAATTTTTTTTGTACGTCCAAATTTGAAGTGTAAATCCAACCGGAAGATTCAGTGTTGGAAGGACTGGGGACGGATTACAACAACGGTTTCTGGAGACTTCCCCTCACTTCCTGTCTTTGGGGCAAAAGTTTCACCAGACAGGAAGTCAGGGAAATTTCCTCGGTGCTTGCCCTGCCTCTGAGTACAGAAGTCTCACCGCAGCAAGAAAGGTGGATTGGATCCCGTCCTGGGCAGAACTCCATATTCCACCCGGGTCCATCGTCTATATACCAGTTTTAGACCATTGGCAGGCAGACTTCCTCCGCTGGGGGAAGGGGGGGGGGGGGGGTTCCTACACCCAGAGGTGTTCCAGGACCTGTGTTGTAGGTGTGGGATGCTAGATCTGGACCTCCAGGTACAGGGATCCTCTGGTATGGCCCAGATTCTGGGGTATCTCTGAATCTAAGCTTTCTTAAAGCTAGGAAGTCCTGTGTATCATTGGATGTCATTGGTGTCTATCATTGGATGTGGAAGCAAACTGCTTCCGCTGTCTCTTAAGGCCAGGGAGGAATTCAATGAGAGAGAGACAGTCGGAAAGCAAACAGCTTCTGCTGTCTCTACAGGCCAGGGGTAGGCAACTTCAGCTGTGGTGAAACAAAAATCCCATCATGCCTCTGGGCGTCATGCCTGTAGCTGTCAGAATCTTGCAATGCCTCATGGGATTTGTAGTTGCAATGTCCAGATTGCCTACCCCTGGTATGTCTTGTGTAGTTTTGCTCTCGATTTGTGACCCGCCTCTCAAACACCCTAATTATCTTTCTTTTTTTTTTTTTTTGTTTGTTTCTTCTAGCGATCACTATTTGCACCATTGGATTGCCTTACTGGCCGACTGCCCCATAATAGCACAAATGTACGAGGACGCAGCTTTAATCAAAGACCACACCCTGGTCAACTCGCTCATCCGCGTCCTCCAGACTCTGCAGGAGTTCAACATCACCCTGGAAAGCTCGCTGGTCAAAGGGATCAACATCTGAGCCCTGCAGACGCCAAATCCAGAGATCGATCACTACTGTGCACCCTATCTATGTCCTGAAAAAGATTTTGTACATTTTTTTTATTTTTATTTTTCCTCCTGTCAGTATTCATTTTTGCGAGCGACGAGACGTCCGAAGACTTTATCTATTGCGACACAAATGCACTCAATGTTTGTTTTTGTTTTTTAATATCCATTATTATTTATTATACTATTTTTTGTGTTTTTCGTTGTCCTGACCCTTCCTGCGCAGTCCGTACTTTTATGAAGCGACCTTTTCCCCGGCGCCAGAGAGCGGATGAAGATGAAGGCGGTGATGCTTTCCGTCGGACGGACCTCTGGCGCGGGGGAGGGGGGGGAAATCTCCGACCCCGTTATGCCGAGAGAAATCCCGAGGTTTACTTCATGATGTCCACGGATAGATTAACGATGCTGCTTCATGCGCCTCTGACATGCAATAATACAAGGACGCAGGCTTCGTGCCGATCATCGTCTCTTACCCTCGCCGCTGGCCGATGGGCTCGGTGGTATTTTGCACAGATCAGTTTAAAAGGAAAATAAATACATTTACACAATTTTCCAGGGTTTTGCTTTCTTGTTTATTATCAGTAGTGAGGCACCGATACCAGTATTTTTTTTTCCAGTACTCGCCGATACCGAATACCGATACCGGAAGTCCCATTAAGGAAGCCAGGCGGCGTGTAAAAGACTCGCCACCCGGCTTCCTGATTAGCAGGGAAGCCGCCCCCCATGCTACTCATCACTAGGTGACGGGAAAGCATGGAGCCGGCTTTCCGGCCAATATTGTAATGAAGCGACGCCCGGCTTCCTGATTGGCCGGGAAACTGGCTCCATGCTCCCTCGTCATGAGGTGAAGAGGGAGCATGAAGCCGGCTTCCCGGCCAATCGGAGCGTCATTACACGGCGCCCGGCTTCCTGATTGGTCAGCGAGTCATTACATACTGCCCGGCTTCCTTGTCACAAGTGATGAGGGAGCAGGGAGCCGGCTTCCTGGCCAATCAGGAAGCCGGGCAGTGTGTAATGACTCGCTGCCCAGCTTCCTGATACCGGAGGTATCGAGCTCGGCATCGGAGCATTTGGGCGAGTACGAATACTCTGCACCGATAGCGATACTAGTATCCGTATTGGTGCATCCCTAATTGTTAGCATAGATGCACGGCATTTCCCAGGAAGGGTTTCATGATGGTGACAACAGAAGACCGTGCCAGTGTAATGTGTGTAAAAGTGGCCACTTGCCGTGTGACGGGGTGGCAACACATGAGCACAATTGGGAAACGGGGGGAAGAGCGTTGTCACCCCATAATAGGAACTTCCTGAGCAAGGACCTCCATGGCAGGATCACCGGGGAGATTATTTTAATGGAAGCTGCTTCCATTTTTGGTACTTAAAGCTTTATCTCAATAAATTATATAAAATACATTTTCGGTATGGCGTTGTATGACGGAATAAATGTCAAAGTCCATCAGCGCTGAATTCTGAAAAATGGTCGGGGCAGGAAGGGGGTGTAACACCCCGAACCTCAGGGGGTGAAGCACTTGTATGTATAGTACACCAGGAAGGTGCATTCTGCAAATTATCCACAAGATGGCGCCACTTTCCTCCCTCTCACCTCTGTCACTATGTCATTGTAAATCAGCAACATTATTAAAGTGTCTTTACAGCCAAAGCTTCCTTTATAGTTAGGAGTTACGAAGGGCCGGGACCTGTCCCAAGCTGTGTGTGACTGAGAGACCGTGACGGGAAATCTAAATTGTTAGAGTTGTCACCAGAAGGAGAGGAGAGGATAAATCTTCCACTGACCAAAGCTTTTTTAAGAGGGGAATTCCCCGTACTTTGATGCGTTGGAGTAATTTCCTCTCATTTCCTGTTGTATATCCAGGACAGGAAGTGAAGGGTAACCTCTTCAATGGGAAACAGACAGCAAAAATTAAACCAATCCCTATTCTATTCAAATCTTAAAGGAGAACTATGAGGTGAGTGAAAACCTCTCAGCCTCATAATCTGAGCCGACCTGTGACAATGAGACTGTCACAGGTCGGCTCAGTAGATCGGGAGGTGAGGGAACACATACCGGCGTTCGCTCACCTCTCGATCCTGTCACGGCTCTCTGCCGTGACAGGGGGAGGGGCTGGATTCCCCCCTCCCCACTCCGATCCTCCAGTGCTGACTGGTGGAACGGATGGGGGAGGGGGCGGGTACAGCTGGCTCTGCCTCTAGATAGGCAGAGCCAGCTGTCACTCACGCAGCTGGGCGGATCCCGTCGTCTAAGTCGGGATCCGCTCCGGCTGCGGCGTCTCAGTGTACCGCGAGCTGTAGCTCCCTATATACTGAGCCTAGGGTGACGGGAGGACGCTAGTTTGTGACCCTGAGGAGAACTATGGGGGAAAAGCCCTGACCCCATAGTTCTCCTTTAACCCCGATTGGTTCATTTTATAAATAGAATCAAAGTGCCAAAATATTGACCTCTCTCGGAGCAAATCTCTCCCTTCTGTGCTTTACATCCAGTCTTGTGATTTACAAAGCTCCGCCATAGAGCAGGGCCAGCCCGGTCACCTGACTGATCTCTTCTGCAGGTAAGCAATGCAGACTGGTCACCTACCTGCCCCCAGCCTCTGAGTGGACTGTAAAGGAGCAGTAGTAGGTTGTCAGACTGCTCTCCACCAATCAGCATGTTCCTTGTCCTCACTTGCTCATGCAGCACATCTGATTGGCCCCAAGTACCTCCCTCCCTCTCCTAGTCGGAGCTCTGCTGTGCAGGGACTTACAGGAGGCTGATAGCAAGTCAAATTCAGATACTTTGATTAGCACAAATGTAGGTACTGTCACTGCTGGTAATAATAAAAATACATTTATATTCTAGATTTTGCTCCCTCTGAGTGAAATGTGA